TTTTGTTTTTGTCCCTCATATGGACATTGTTCTGGGTTGAAAAAGATGCCCGTGTAATATTCTCAAGGGGAATTTCCCATCATCTAAAGTAGTGAATCTAACAGAAGGTTGAGACTCAATTGGAAAACTAGATCTCACAAAAAGCACCCTGCTAGGATAAGCCAAAGCGGAAAATAATGGATACATAGTACCAGAATACGGTTTTTCTGGGTGTAATAATTTGTGAGGATAAAGAAATGTTATCTTTATTAGTCAAATGCTACAGAGAGGCGAATGTGACAGTAGAAATCATGGGGGTCACCTTTTTATAGACAGGGGGCTATTTTGGTTTTGTTTTTAAGATGGGATGGACTCAATCATGTGTATCTACTGACCGGACAAAATCTGCATGCAGAGGTGGTTGTCGGAGGCAGGTTCTTAAGCAAATGAAATCCGGAGTTCAGGTGGATCAGGAAGGGGTCTCTTTTTAGTCATTAGGGAAATGCAAATGAAAACCACAATCAGATACCATTTTAAAACCACTAGTATGGCTACAGTATTGGAGAGGATGTGAAGAAACAGGTACCTCCTACATTGTTGATATGAGTATAAGATGGTGCAGCCACTTTGGAAACCAGTTGGACAGTTTCTTAAACAGTTACACATACATGTGCCATATGACCCAGCAATTCCACTCCTCAGTCCTGGGTATTGCCCAAAAGAAATGAGACATATGTTCACACAAAGACTCATAAATGAGCTGTTTATAGCAGCATTATTCATAATAATCAAAAAGTGGAAACAACCCAAATGCCTGTGACTGGTGAGTGGGGAAACAAAATGTGGTATATCTGTACAGTGGAACACTACTCAGCCATGAAAGGGAATGAAATTCTGAGACGTTCTACACCATGGATGAACCTCAAAAACAGATATTAAATGAAAGAAGCCAGACCTAAAAGACCACATATGTTTGAGTTTGTGGGGCTGGGAGGGGAAGAATGAATTTGAGGCCCTTGGTTTCCTTTCCTGTTGGGTACCTTCATGTTCTCTGAGGCACAGTCACATTGGACAGCTGTCACCCCAGGTGCAGTTTCTTCTGTCAGGACCTCGCCTTGGAGTCCCTGTGTGAACTTCTGCCCACATTATAACCACATGCTGACATCTTCCCTGACTCCTCCACTTCCTGGCTTTCCTTCCCCCTGTTCCTTCCTAAGGCACATATCATCTAGTGTAGGACCTTGTCCTTAATCGATAAATATTTTCTCTAAATTGAGTTTGACTTCATTTAGTCTTAATTGTCTCGTGCAGCTTTTTAAAAATTGCACTTGAAAATGATGGTGAAGTTTACAGAGCTTTGTTTTGTCTGGAGTCAGAACGTGTGTTCACCAGCGATGTTTGCCCTCTCTTCCTTTCACATTCCTACCTCTGAGGCCTGAGTCGGTGTGTTCGTTCATCTCGCTGCAGCCCATTCCCGAGTTCTGTCAGCACGAATCATTCCAAGGATGCTTTCTTTAGCCTCAAGCACATGTACCAACCCTCTAGTGTGGTTTCTGCTCGCATAACCTCAAATCTTGACGCTCCTGAAAATATTTTCTCAGGCCAAAACTTTTCTCATTTCTTTTCTTTTTTTTTTTTTTTTTTTTAATTTTTATTTTGTCAATATACAATGTATATGATTATT